AAAATCGCCCAGCTGCCTTGTTCCAAGTGACCCGCTCTCTTCTCAATCAGGGAGCAAGGGAGGACCCCTTACAGGGTAGTGTTGAGGACTTTGCTCAATTTCTGCAAGACAAAATCACTCAGATCCGATCAGGTTTGGACTCTGACTGGGCAGGGTCTGACGAGGAGATGGGAGTGAGTCTTGAAGGTAACATCTGAGTTGACTTTGATCCTGTATCCACAGAGGAAGTGGACAGGGTTGTTGGAAGATTGGGAGGCTCAATGAATTTGTTAGACCCGTGTCCCTCCTGGCTTGTTGCAGCAACCAGAGAGGTGACCGGAGGCTGGATCCAGGTGATTATCAATGCTTCTTTAAGGGATGGGGCCTTCCCCGCCACTCTTTTTTTTAATTTAAAAAGTTTTAACAATCATTACAACAATTTTCCCCCCTGTGGAAGTAAACTGTGGAGTAAATTTTATCTTCTTTTTGAGAATATTTTGAATAATCCACCATATTTTTTATCCAAAATGCCTTAATTTTTTTACATGTCCACCATATATGATAATATGTGGCATCATCACATTCACATCTCCAACACTTAGGTTGCACACTTGGATACATACAGGCTAGCTTTTTAGGATCCAGATGCCATCTATAAAACATTTTATAAAAATTCTCTCTTAAATTTTGGGCTTGCGTGAACTTCACATTTCTAACCCATATTTTTTCCCATGTTTCCATCATTATTGGTTCTTCAATATTTTGTGCCCACTTTATCATACAGTCCTTAACTAACTCCATTTCTGAATCTACTTCTACCAACGCATTATACAACCTTTTTATGTGTATTTGACTTTGATCTCTAATCTGTTTTACCAAGTTCTCCTCGTTTTGCAAAAAACCAATTTTCTGATCTTCTCTCCATCTAGCTTGCAACTGTACATATTGAAACCATGTTCGAATTGTCCTTTCTTCTCTTAGTTGATTCAAAGATTTTAATTGTAGTATACCTCTTTCCTTGTTAAGAAGCTCTTTATATGTAATCACATCCTGCCTTTGCTCTACACTTATATTCTCTATCGCGTGTCTGGGTATTGCCCACAATGGTAACTTCTCGTTCAGTTTATACTTGTACTTTTTCCAGACATGCAATAGAGCATTCCTTAATATATGACTTTTAAAAGTCTTGTCCAGTTTATTATCATATAATAAATAAGCACGCCACCCATAAACCAAATCATATCCCTCAATATTCAATATTCTTTCTTCTGTTAAATTCATCCAATCACTCATTGCTGATAGAACAGCTGCCTCATAATATAGTCTTAAGTTAGGCATTTTGAGACCTCCTCTTTCACATATGTCCTGCATTATTTTTTGTTTTATTCTCGGTTTCTTCTCTGCCTCAATTCCCTGGTAATTAAAGTTATTAATACCCTTCTGCCATATCTTCAAATTCTCATCTTTTTTAAGTATTGGTATCATTTGAAAAAGAAACAAAAACTTAGGCAAAACATTCATTTTTACTGCTGCTATTCTTCCTAACAAGGATAATTGTATTTTTTTCCAGTTTTCCATCTCTCTCTGTATTTTTTGCCACAACGGATCATAATTATACTTAAATAATTTCGCATTTGATGTCATAATATAGACCCCTAAATACTTAACTTTTTTTACAATTTCAAATCCTGTTAGTCTTTCTAATTCTTCTTTTTGATTTATAGTCATAGTTTTAGTTATTATCTTCGTTTTCCCTGCTCTCTTCCTCCCCTTTTCCCGGGCAGAAAGTTTCCAAGCCGCTAGACAGCTGATTTGCGCTGTTCTAGCAGCTTTACGAGATCGCGGGGCTGGCACTCAAGAAAAGAGCATCCTCGGTGCCTGCGATGCCACTGGAAGTCCTTCCCCACCACTCTTAAGGAGGTGGTGGTTTGTCCCCTCCTCAAGAAGCCTGCTCTGGATCAGGCCTCCCTGAACAACTTTCGTCTGGTCTTCAACCTTCACTTTATAATGAAGGTTGTTGAGTCTGTTGTGGCATACCAACTTCCGCAATTCCTGGATGAAACGGATTAACTTGACCCATACCAATCAGGCTTCAGGTGCAGACACAGCACAGACACCGCATTGGTCACCCTGGTGAATGATCTCTGGCGGGCCCGGGACAGGGGTTATTCCTCTATCCTGGTCCTACTTGACCTCTCAGCAGCTTTTGATACCATCGACCATGGTATCCTTCTGCGATGGCTTAGGGGGCTGGGGGTGGGGGGCACTGTTTTACAGTGGTTCTCCTCCTACCTCTTGGGTTGTATGCAGTTTGTTTGGACAGGGGGGCAGAGATCCTCCCTGAGGCCCCTCATTTGTGGGGTACCTCAGGGATCGGTCCTCTCCCCCTTGCTCTTTAACATCTATGTGAAGCTGCTGGGTGAGATCATTCATAGTTTCGGGGTGGGGTATCATCAGTATGATGATGATACCCATCTTTACATCTCCACCCCGGACCAGCCCGGGGACGTCCTTTCTGTGATGTCTAAATGCCTGGAGGCAGTGCAGGTCTGGATGGGTAGAAACAGGCTCAAACTCAACCCCTCCAAGATGGAGTGGCTGTGGATGCCAGCATCTCTTGATCTAGCGCCCCCATCACTTCTGATGGGAGGGGAGCTGCTTACTCCCTCAGGAAGAGCTCGCAATCTTGGTGTCCTCCTGGATTCGCGGCTGTCCTTAGTTGATCATCTGATGGCTGTGACCAGGGGGCTTCTGCACAGATTCTCCTGGTGTGCCAGTTGCGGCCTTTCCTAGATAGGGATGCCCTCCGTATAGTCATTCATGCTCTCGTCATCGCTCGCCTGGACTACTGCAATGCTCTCTACATGGGGCTGCCCTTGTGGTGCACCGGGAGGCTCCAACTGGTCCAGAATGCAGCCGCGCGGGTTGTTACGGGAGCTTCCTGTTACTCCTGGGTTACACCTCTCCTGCGCGAGCTGCACTGGTTGCTGGTGGTCCTCCAGATCTGCTTCAAGGTGCTGGTCCTTACCTACATGGCATGGGCCCAGGGTACTTGCAGGACCACCTCCTTCCGGCCTCCCATCGCCCTGTGCGTTCACATAGGGCTGTCCTCCTCCAGGTGCCATCGGCCAGACAATGTCGGCTGGTGGCGCCTAGGATGAGGGCATTCTCTGTGGCCGCACTGACCCTCTGGAATGAATTACCCGCTGGGCTCCGGACGGCCCCCGACCTCCGCTCTTTCCGCACTGGCCTGAAGACATGGCTTTTTCAGCAATTCTCTTGATCTGCTGGGAGTTTTTAATTCTAATTGTTGGGATTTTTAATTTTGTAATTGGACTGTTTTAGCATTAATTTATTGCCTTGTGTTTATTGTTGTGAGCCGCCCTGAGTCCTTTGGGAGAAGAGCGGCATATAAATGTGAGTAAAATAAAATTAAATAAATAAATAAATTTTAAATTAACAATGTCTACTGCATATAAAGAGAACCAATATAAAATGTTTAATAGATGGCATATATCACTTGAAAAATTGGCAAAAATGTTTAAAGACAAATCAGCTAAATGATGAAAATGCCATCAGACACCAGGATTGTACTATCATATGTGGTGGACATGTCCAGAAGTGAGAAATTATTGGATTAGAATTAAAACATGGTTAGAAGAAATGCTTGAACAACATATTGATTTAAAACCTGAGTTGTTCCTATTGGGTATGCTTCCAGAGAAAATTGGCAAAGAAAAGGTATATTTGATTATACATGTAATAAATGCAGCGAGGATAGTATTTGCACAAAGATGGAAAGTAGAGAAAATTCCTTCAGAAGACGAAGTAATTAAGAAAATATTAGATTGTGCAGAAATGAATAGACAGACTTTGATAATTAAAGAAAGAAAGGATTCGGAATATTACAAGGTATGGAGACAATTTTACAATTGGTTAGAGAAAAGATATAGATAAATGTATTAATAGCAAACAAGACAATGTTATAATAAAAGAAGTATGGGGAGAATGTTATAATAAAGAAATGGGAAAAATAAAGAAACAATGAAGGCCGGAGAAATAAGAAGGAGATGAAGACACAATAGAAACATCTAGACGATATACAATGATTGATTATGTATTGCATGTTTGTTTGTTTATAAAATAAAAAAAAATATAAATAAAAGAAACTTATATCTGTACCTTTTAAGTTAACACATGATTTCCTACAGAGAAATTACTACAGAGAAGTGTCTTTTGCAAAGATATTTCTGTATTGTGTATTGTTCTGACCTAGGCTTCCTGAGTCAGTAAAACACATGAGTAGTTCCAAAAACCTCTTTTATTGCAACAGCTGTGAATTCTGTTCATTCACAGATGAGTCCCAAATAGTTGTAAAGAGTCCTTCGGGATAAGGCTGATAGTCACCCACCTTTATCTTCCTTGACACACTGCCAAAGACCTAATTGGCAAAGCCACACGGAGTCTAGAATCAAACAGAACTTCAGACTGTAAACTGAACAGAATTAACAACGTTGCTTCCTGCAAAGGCCCACATGCCTTTGTTCCTCTTTTAAGTCTTATGGGAGGGGCCAATCATCTCCAAGCCCTACTCCTTAATTGTCCCTTTTGTTTTAACTGTTCTTGCCTTCTGGCAGCTCTGCACATGCGCACACTGGGAACAGGCTCCCCCTGTTCCTCTGCCTCACTGAGGTCTGACTCTGGAGGCTCCAGAGGCAGCAAGTACTTCCCAGATGGCCCTTTCTCTGCCTCCAATGCAGAGCCCTCGTCTGAGTCTTCCCCAGACTCCAAGACTGGCCCATATTCCTCCCCAGCCTCCTCACTGTTCGACTCTGCTGCCAGCTGCGCAGGCCACCAGTGGACCACAACATGTATTACAGTTTGCTATAACATGCTGAAGTAGTATAAAATACTATCCAGATGATGGCAATATTGTCATAAACATCACAAGAGAGCACAACTCAATAGAGAAAATAAAACACAGTTTCCAGGATGCCATTATTACAATAAAAAAAGATTACCTTTGGGGGTATTGTTCCTTTGCTTCTTGGATTATCTTTGGGCCAAGTAAATCCCTCCATTTTTGGATTGCATTCTCTCGTACCAAAGCAAGAGCAAGAGTTGGCCCACTGGTCAAGACAAATACAGCTTTGTTTGTTTGTTTGTTTGTTTGTTTGTTTGTTTATTCTTCTGAATGAATATAAATTCAATAACAAACATTCTGGAATGTAAGCAACAAATATTCTGGGGGGAAAAAAGCCAAAACCAAATTTCTTCATAAAATTAAAAGTGTTTACAATTACACGGGAAACCATAAAAATCTGTTTAAGGCAAAATCTCCCAAAGTGGTAAATATTGACCTGAAGAGTTGATGAGATTATCCTATATGTTGTTAAAGTGATACTGTTAAAATTGCTTTCACATAAAACATCTTTTAGGAGTCAATGAACAATCTCAAATTTCATGAAGTGAGCTGCAGAATTGGAGACCCTTGGCTTAAGATAACAGCATTAATGCAAGTCCTCATCAGAACTGATTATCAACAAATTACAAATCCATACCATTTCTGTTATTTTAAACTTCCTTAATGACTTAACTAAAATTCTCCAGCAGCCTATAATGATAGTTACAACTACTACTACTGCTAATAAGACCTTCTTCACATAATTTTTGCCTTAAGAATATTTTTCCTTTTGAGACTGATAATCATTGCACTTATCCTGACCAAGGATTCGAATCCCTAGTATAGGTCTCCTGCATGGGGGTTGGACTAGATGGGGGCTGGACTAGATTACCTCCAAGGTCCCTTCCAACTCTGTTACTGTTATTGTTTCTGTTACAAGAGTTTTATAATAATGTCTGTGGTGCAAGTTCTATCACTGAAAACTGTTAAATTAAATTGATACAGGCATTGTGACTGCACAATGAAATCAAACATTGGGCAATAACAAATGTACCCACAGGGACTAAGACAAAAGCAGTCAAGGTGATGGCCTCAATCCAAGAACTGAATTTCTTCCTTTCTTGGATGATCCTGGATAGTAACAAGATTCACATAGGAGCCCACTGGTGCTAGAAGTTGAACTCTGATAAATTCTTGCAGATTTGTGATGCTCATCATGGATTCATAGCTTCTGCATATAACATATGTGATACTATGATTTCCTATTCTAAAATAATGTAAGATATTTACTCATGGAATGCTGTATTGTAGAAAATGGGTACCTGGTCATTTGATCCAAAATATATGGAAAATAATCTTGATTTTCATGTTCTCGGTAGAATTCACGAGCCTGTTCTTCTGATAAGGTGATTTCCTTTTGCATGGCTATTTCAAAGCCATTTTCCACAATTCTATTCAGAATAGATTCTGAAGAGCAAAAATTATATAGACTGCATTACTTTTATTTATATATAAATATTTAAATGATTGGTGCTTCTCTAATATGAGGATGATACAGCTTCACTATCCTATCAATTTTGGCCTCAAATCTTATTCTGTGCTCCAATGTAAACATCCTCTTTCATGTTCTATACTTTTTTTCTGATCTAACAGCTAAGTTATATTCCAATACCTGGAGAGAGTAAACCCATTAACACTGAAAAGAAAGCTATTGACGGAGGAAACAGACCTATCACAATCATAAACTAAATAATAAGGAGAGCTATAATGGATTGAGATAGGATTATTTAGATTATTACTTAGATTTTTTAATTTTTTAATTTTGCTGAATGGAAAATTAGGATATGAGTGCAGCAACACAAAGCAATCTTCCACAGCAAAATGACTGTGATTGATCGTGCAGTTAAATATTTGCTGCTTGAGAATATTCATGTATAATTATTATTTGAAATACACAATATATTTCTGTGATAGCTTTCTGATACATGGGCAGCCTCTGATTAATCCCCAGTATTCAGAATAATATCCATACTAGCTGGGGGATTCAGAAAGGTTTCAAGGTTGGAAAAGGCTGTTCCATAACATTTTCCTGTTGAGCTTTCTAAGAGTAGTTTTTCTTTAAGCTTTCAATTAATTTGGGTTATAGCTCACACATTTTCATTTACACTCATGCAAGAAAAAAAAGAGAAAAAGAGAGAGAATAAGTCTGTATGTTTCAAACTTATTTAGTTTAAGTGTACATTTCTTTAGATCTTTTTGTTTAAAAATGCTCTGTTTTTTGGATTACATCCATCCAGACCAAAATGGTTTCATTCCAAATAGGCAAATCAATAAGAACACAAGAACAATAATCAATATCCTGGAATACTATGAGCAAAAATCGGATGAAAAAATGGCCTTACTCTTCCTTGACGCACAGAAGGCATTTGACAACCTTAATTGGGGATTCTTAACATTACAATTAGAAAAAATGGGAACCGGCGATAAATTTTTAAATATGATCAAAACAATATACTCCGACCAAACCACAAAAATATGGATAAACGGAGAGACAACAGACCAATTTAAAATATCCAAGGGAGTGAGACAAGGATGTCTCCTCTCTCCTATATTATATATATTAGCATTGGAACCACTGTTGAATGAAATTAGGAATGACAATGAAATAAAAGGATTAAGAACAAAAAACCAGGAGTATAAATTACAAGCATTCGCGGACGACGTAGTATTTATTTTAGAACGACCAAAACAATCAGGATTGAATTTATTAAGGAAGATAGAACAATATGGCGAAGTGGCAGGATTGAAAATTAATAGACAAAAAACAAAACTACTAACTAAAAATTTGACAAAAATCCAGGAGAAAGAATTGGAAGAGACGTTAGAAATACAAACAACAACAAAAATAAAATACCTAGGAATTTGGCTCACCAATAAGGTATCATCCTTTAAAGAAGACAATTATAATAAATTGGCCAAACAAATTCAAAAGGACTTAGAGGCATGGAGTAAATTGAGACTATCACTATTAGGCAAAATTGCTTCAATCAAAATGACAATTTTACCGAAATTATTATACCTATTTAGAACAATACTGATAAATCCAGGAAAATCATATTTCAAAGACCTTGATAAAATGACATTAAACTATATATGGCAAGGAAAAAGAGCCAGGATTAAACTGAAACACCTGCAGGACACTAGAGAAAGGGGTGGCCTGGGACTACCAGATTGGCAAACTTACTACACTGCAACAGCTTTAACTTGGATTAAAGATTGGATGACACTCGAAGATAAACGAACGTTAGCATTAGAAGGATTTGATCTGTCGAAAGGCTGGCACACATTTTTATGGGAGGAAAAACCCAGGCAACATGAACACTTCAGGAGACATTATATCAGAGGAGCATTGGCAAAAATTTGGACCGAAATAAGGAGAAAACACTACGACAAAATCCCAAGATGGCTATCAACCATGGAGGCCAAAATTTATCCGAACACAATGGATATAGACAAGATGAAAACCTACGACGAATTGTTGAACACAGGGGGAGAAATGAAAACAAGAGAGGAATTGAGACAGCAGGGCACGGACATTGACTGGTGGCCGTATTTACAGATAAAATCAAGATATAAAATTGACACGAAAAAATTTGGAATCCAAAAAGAAAGAAATGAATTAGATAAAATTATAATGCAATCAGACGATAAATTAATAACTAAAATATATAATTATCTATTAAAATACAAATTGGAAGAAGAAGTGGTGAAGGAAAATATGATTATTTGGGCTAAAAATTTTGGATATAATATTAACCTAGAAAATTGGGAGAAAATGTGGAAAGTAAATACTAAGCTGACAATGTCCGTGCCGTACAAAGAAAATACATTCAAGATGTTTTATAGGTGGCATCTCCCCCCTGCACGTCTGGCAAGGATGTTCCCCAATACTAATCAGAACTGTTGGAAGTGTAAAACACAGAAGGGGACCTACTACCACATGTGGTGGTCATGCCCAAAGGTCAAAAAAATTTGGAAAACAATTCAAAATCAGCTGGAAGAAATCACCACCCAAAAAGTGCCCCTCAGACCGGAAACATACCTATTAGGAATACTAACAAAGGACTATAAAAAAGAGACACAATACTTGATAATACACATCCTGACCGCAGCTAGAATCCCTTTCGCACAAATGTGGAAACTGGAGGATACGCCATCAGAGGAAAAAATAATACAAAAAACAATGGAATGTGCGGAAATGGACAAACTTACCAAAGAAATACAGGGAAAAGAAGATTCAGATTATTACTTAATTTGGCAAAAATGGTACAACTGGTTAGATAAAAAGAACACGAAATAAGGAAATACCACCCAATGATACAAAAATAAGGGAATAAAATGAAATATCGTTGTATAAACATTGATACATGATGAAGGATAAATATACACAGATATATAGATATATAATTACCGAAGTAGTTCTATTTTCAAAGTTCAAGCTGTATGACTTGATTTTACTGTATAGTTAGTTTATGTAGTTTGTTTAAATGTCTACGTCTGTATATGTATGTTTGTTTATTAAATTAAAAAAATGCTGTTTTTTTATTTTTTATATGCAAAAAGATGGGTTAAAACTGTAATGTATACATTTAAAAATAGTGTCAGTCTAACAAAGAAATATGCCAGGACTTTGAATCAAAATAGAAAATTTTGATTCAAAATACTAGAAAAGGTAACTTTTCAGATACATCAAACATCTGTCTAAAGTATTGTCAGCTCTTAGCCAATCTCATAAAACACCACCATTTCTGCCTTTCTTTCACTTTCTTTTTATCAAACCCTAGTAAAAATAGCAAAGTGCCATATATTTCAGTTGTGTGCAAAGTGCCTATAATAATTGCCACCAACCTCTTCTTTCTTTTAAAAGGGAAGGTCTGATCAATGCCAGTGTTCGCTCAACATTTTTTTCATTCCTTTGCTTGGAAAAATCAGAAAAAAAGAAGGCAAGTTGCCTGCTTGTTTCTTCAACACGATCCTGAATATCACAGTGATGTAACAGGTCTTGATTTTGCAACATCTCTTTCAAACTAACAAAAAGGAAAATAATGTAAAAATGTATTTAATATTAACACAGGACTTACTTTATCATCAACATCTTCAAAATTAAATACTCTGATCCTGAAGAAAAATAACAAATATTGCATATCAATATATCAAAGGCAAAAAAGAGATGCAAAAGTGGTGTCGGTATTATACTGAACAAGGTAAATGTCAGGTGTGCCTCTGTTCAAAACCCAAGAAAGAAAACTCACAACTCCATGTTTGTAGAGAAGAGGTATTTTTACTGGATTTGAAATGATAGCAACGAAAGAAAAGCAAGATCTGAGCCAAAAAGCTCAGTTACATATTAAAAGTTTCCCCTAGGGACCCAGGCTGAATGTCCAATCCCCATCCCATATGGTGTAATGTGGGGCACATGTTCAGGTGTTTTCATCCATCTGGTATTCTAGGATGGTTAACCTTGACTGGGTATAAACAACTCCATTCAGCTGTGTAGTAGATCAGGAGAGCATTCCTCCTGTTTTGTTCACACAGACCGTCTTCACTTCAGCTCACTTCCCCACCCAAATGCCAGTCTTTCAGGGTGAAATTCAGCAAGTTCTGACAGGTTCTGGAGAACTGGTAGCGGATATTTTGAGTAGTTTGGAGAACCAGCAAATACTACCTCTGGCTGGCCCCAGAGTGGGGTGGGAATGGAGATTTTGCAATATCCTTCCCTTAGGAGTGGGGAGGGAATGAGGATTTTGCAGTATCCTTCCCCTGGAGTGGGGTGGGAATGGAGATTTTGCAGTATCCTTCCCCTGGGGAGGGATGGGAATGGAGATTTTGCCATGCCCACCAAGCCACACCACACCACGCCTACCAAGCCACACCCACAGAACTGGTAGTAAAAAAAATTGAAATCTCCCAGTGCAATCCCATTATTTACTATCGGCTCCCCATTACTATAGCAGCCGATAGCAAGTGAGCATCAAAGAGGCTGACATTTGGCCCTCCTGCAGTAGAGGTGTTAGCCCTGGAGAAAAACACAAGACAAAATAGACAAGATAGAAACAAATGAAACAACTCAAAATACAAGAGCATTTACATGAATAACATTAAGGCTTGTCACGGTATTTAAAGCAAAACAGTTGTAAGAGTTTTGGGGCTCTGACATCTCGAGCATTCACCCATTCAGATTGAGAGGGAGGAAAATGTTTCTAGGCAACCAAATACTGTACTTTCCCCCTATGTTTCCTGGAATCCAGGACCTCTATGACCTTGAAATGCTGCTCCCTTCAATGAGGATGGGAATAGGAGGGGCAGATTGTCTGGTCGAAGAGAAAGACATGTTCAGGTTTCAGCAAACTAACATGAAACACAGAGTGGATCCTTCTAAGGTTTTTTGGTAGGTCTAACTGTACCATGACCAGGGTTACAATCCTTACAATCGGGAAAGGACCTACATACTTAGGTCCCAGTTTCTTCGACTTCTTGGTAGTCTATAAGTACTTAGTGGACAAGAAAACCCTACTCCCAACTTGGTAGTCCTTCAGCATAGATCTTTTCTTGTCAGCCTGTTTCTTATGGGCTTGATGAGCCTCGTCTAATACATTACGGGTGACGGACCAGATAAACTGAAGCTGCTCAATCCATTCCACTAGGGAGGAGTTTGGGGCTTCTCCTGCGGCAGCTCTGTGGCAGCTCTGGAATAGGTACAAAGTCCTGACCAGAAGCCACTTTGAATGGGGTGAAGCTGGTGCTACTATGGATGGAATTATTATAAGCAACCTCTGCAAAAGGCAGTAAGTCGGCCCAGTTATCTTGCTGATAATTTATGTAACAGCTGAGGTATTGTTCTAGGACCAAGTTAGCATGTTCACAAGCCCCGTTAGTTTGAAAGTGGTGGAAGAAGCTTAGGCCTTGGGTGGAGCCTAACAACTTCAGGAACTGCTTCCAGAAGTGGGGGGTAAATTGTACCACCGTATCCAAAATGATGCATCCAAGAACCCCATGTAACCTATACGCATGTTGAATGAACAGTTTAGCTAGCGTTTTTGCAGACGGAATCTTGGAGCAGGGTACAAAATGGAAAACAAGTCCATGACCACCCAAATGACTGTATTTCCTCCACTCTCAGGTAGTTCAATTATGAAATCCATCCATGGTATTTCCTTCCATGGAGCACTAGGGCTAGCGACATTCTGGAGAAGTCCAACTGGCCTTCCAGGGGGCCTCTTTGTGGAAGCACATACAGGACAACTAGCGACGTAAGCTTCTATGTTCTTTTTCAAAGAGGCCACCAGAACTGCTGTTTAACTAAGTGTAAAGTTTTCATGAACCCAAAGTGTTCAGCGATTTTCGAATTGTGGGCCTGTTGTAATACAGTCCCCCTAAGACTGGCAGGGACATATTGTTTTGCATTCACTCATTCTAGGCCATCACGAATGGTGCAATCATTTGAGTGGGACAAGAACCAATCATCAGTTTTCAGTGCCCCCTTTAGCTGCTCGCTTAAATTGGTTGGAAGTTCAAGATCCATCTTTCCCTGGGCTCTGGTGACCACCAGGGCAGCCAGTTGCTTGGAGAGGATAACCGGGTATATCACTTCTGGCCGAGTGCTATTATACTGGGGTAATCTAGGTAAAATGTCTGCCATAAAGTTTTTTCCCCCAGTGAGGTAGTGCAAGGAAAAATTAAAACGGTTAAAGTGTTGCACCCAACAGACTTGCTTGGGTGACAATTTCCAGGGTGTTTTTAAGGCCTCTAGGTTTTTATGATCCGTCCACACCTCAAAAGGGTGTTTTGCCCCTTCGAGGAAATACCTCCAGGTTAGCAAGGCCCATTGGACAGCAAATGCTTTCTTCTCCCATATTGCCCATCTCCTTTCGGTTTCAGTTAATTTCCGGGAGGTGTAGGCACAGGATTGTAAAGTTCCAGTAGCATTGGATTGTAGTAATTCTGCCCACACAGGTATGTCACTGGCATCGGCCTGGACTATGAAGAGAGCCTCCATGTCAGGATGTTTAAGGATGTGTTCTGCTGCAAACAACCTTGTCCGCTCAAGGGGATGGCTAGGCCTTGGTTTAGCTTCTCCATTTTTCTTTAGGAGATTAGTAATGGGTAATGCGATTTTTGCAAAGGCGGGGATGAATTGTCGATAAAAGTTCACAAAACCTAGAAAGCTTTGCAGCTGCTTTCTGGTGCGTGGGGGCGCCCACTCCATTACCACCTGAACCTTCTCCCTGTCCATTTCTATCCCCTCATGCGATATGTGGTAACACAAATAGTCAATTTTAGTCTGGTGAAATTCAGCAGCCCTGAGTTTTTTCAGGACTGATTGCACTAACTTTACATGGTCTTCCATGGTTTCAGTGTAAATAAGAATATCATCTAAGAACCCCCTTGTAAAGGTGTTCATGCAGCATCTCATTTATCAGTTGCATAAACATAGCTGGGGCTCCTTGTAATCCAAATAGGAGCACCTTAAACTGGAAACAACCCAAAGGGCAATTGTATACGGTTTTCCACTCATCTCCTTCTTTAATTCGGACTCTGTAGTAAGCTTCTCTCAAGTCTATCTTGGTGAAAACCTTTAGATAGATGAGTAAAATGTCCTTCATTAGGGATAGTGGATAAATATTTTATACACATGGCATTGAGACCTTTATAATCAATGCAAAGACAAAAAGAGCTATCTTTTTTTTGTGTGTGTGTGTGGAACATCATCGGAGCAGCCACTTGTGGCCCAGCTGATTGGATGAAGCCCCATTTTAGGTTTTTATCAATAAAGATTCGCAGTTCATCCAGTTCTCACGGGGTCATCGAGTAGATCTTTGGCTTAATGTCAGGCATGCCTCCATTCAAAACCCAAGAAAGAAAACCTCCATGTTTGTAAAGAAGAGGTACTTTTACTGAGTTTGAAATGATAGCAATGAAAGAAAAGCAAGATCTGAGCCAAAAGGCTCAAAAGTTACATATTAAAAGTTTCCCTAAATCCCTCCCCGCAGGTACCCAGGCTGAATGACCAATCCCCATTCCATATGGTGTCATTTGGGGCACATCTTCAGATGTTTTCGTCCATCTGGTATTCTGGGATGGTTTACCTTGACTGGGTATAAACAACTCCATTCAGCTGTGCAGTAGATCATGAGAGCATCTCTCCCGTTTTGTTCACACAGGCTGTCTTCACTCCAGCTCACTTCCCCACCCAACTGCCAATCTTCCCCCCTTCCCATTACTATGGCAGCCGATAGCAAGCAAGCATCAAAGAGGCTACTTCCTCAGGTCCTTTGGTAACAACACAAAAATGATTTGCCATTGCTTTTTTCTGAGGTGTTTCTTCAGCTTCCCAATTTAGCCTTTTGGCCTGGCATTCCCAGATAGTTCCCATTCAGATACATAACATAACATTCAGATACATTACATAACAATGTAATAACTGATTTATATTGTGAGATTAACCAAGGTTGCTATTTGCTGTAACAAAATATGAGAATAGCAAGCATTTAAAAAAATCTTCCTCTGAAAATTCTCTCAACATTCTGATGAATTGACTGTTTTAGAAGTGGTCCAAATGAATTAGTAAACTGCCATTCTGGTCCCGCATCCCAGCAAGGGATCTTGTTTTTATCTCGGAACAGTGGCACGATGACTTCGGTGGGGGAGTACCAGTTATCCATCCCCTGTCATGGACCGATCATCATCTCCTGTGGCTAGGCTTCCAGAATGCCAACACCCCCCCCCACCCACTGGGATGCGGGACCGAGCATCTGGTTCCGCCCCAGGCGCCTGATGGACCCGGAGAGGTTCCAGACAGAGCTTGGGACAATACCTCTCTCCCTCTCCCATGCCCCAGTAAAGGCTCTGGTGGATGCCTGGGAAAAGGCGGCCTCCGGGGCACTCGACCGTGTTGTGCCTTTGCTGCCTCTGACTCAACGCAGATCCTGGTTGGCTCCTTGGTTCACGGAGGAGCTCTGGGAGATGAAGCGCCGTAGGAGAGGCCTAGAGAGCAGTTGGAGAGCCAGCGGTTCCGAATCCGACCATTCCCAGTTGAGATCGTTCACACGATCCTATCTGGTGGTGATGGAAGCGGCGAAGCAGGCATACTTCTCTGCCCTCATCGCATCCTCAGATAATCACCCAGCCACCCTGTTCAGGGTGTCCCGCTCCCTCTTAAATTGAAGGGCAGGGGATGATCCTTTGCAGGGACACGCCAAGGAGTTTAGTCAGCATCTGCTGGATAAGATCGCTCGGATTCAGGACGGTCTGGACTCTGACTGGGCAGGGTCTGACGGTGAGGAGACAGCTGGTCCTGGGATCTGGGAAGAGTTCGATCCTGTCACCCCTGAAGAAAAGTACAGGATCATGGGAAGGTTGAGTGCCACCATATATGTACTGGACCCGTGTCCCTCCTGGCTAACTTATGCGGCCTGTGAGGTGACATGGGATTGGATCCAGGCAGTAATAATGGCATCCTTGGATGAGGGGATCTTCCCTGCCACCCTGAAAGAGGTGGTGGTGAGACCCCTCCTCAAGAAACCTGCCTTGGATCCAACCATATTGGATAACTTTCGTCCGGTCTCCAACCTTCGCTTTGTAGCGAAGGTTGTTGAGAGTGTGGTGGCACAGCAGCTCCCATTGGCCCTGGAGGATACAGACTACCTGGATCAGTACCAATCGGGTTTCAGGCTGGGGTACAGCATGGAGACGGAATTGGTCGCACTGGTGGATGATCTTTGGAGGGCTCAGGACAGGGGTTATTCCTTTGTTCTGGTCCTCTTGGATCTTTCGGTGGTGTTTGATACCATCGACCATGGTATCTTGCTGCGACGGCTCGAGGGGTTGGGAGTGGGAGGCACCATATTACGGTGGTTCTCCTCCTATCTCTTGGGCCGTACGCAAGCGGTGTTGGCAGGGGGGCAGAGGTCGGCTATGAGGCCCTTCACCTGTGGGTTGCCCCAGGGGTCAGTTCTCTCACCTCTCCTGTTCAACATCTATATGATGCTGCTTGGGAAGATCATCCGTGGTTTTGGGGTGCGGTATCATCAGTATGCTGATGATACCCAGCTTTTTATATCCACCCCAAACCAGCCCAGTGATGCCCTCGACATGATGTCCCGTTGCCTGGAAGTGGTACGGACCTGGATGGGGAGGAACAGGCTTTGACTCAACCCTGTCAAGACCGAGTGGCTGTGGGTACCGGCATCTTGTTCCGATCGAGATATTCCATTGTTGACCATCGGGGGTGAGGTGTTACCCCCTGTGGATAGGGCCCGCAACTTCGGTGTCCTCCTGGATTCACGGTTGTCTCTGGAAGACCATGTGACGACTGTGACCAGGGGGGCATTTGCCCAGGTTTGCCTTGTGCGACAGTTGCGCCCTTACTTGGATCAAGACGTCCTACGCATCATTACTCATGCACTGGTCACCTCCTGTCTTGACTACTGCAATGCTCTCTACCTAGGGCTGCCCTTGAAAACCACTCGAAGGCTTCAGCTGGTGCAGAATGCGGCCGTGCAGGTTGTGATGGGAGCGTCCCAACACTCCCATGTTACACCCCTCCTGCGTGGCTTGCATTGGTTACTGGTTGCCCTACGAGTGAGGTTCAAAGTGCTGGTTATAAAGCTATAAAGCCCTTCATGGCCTAGATATTCCATTGCTTAGAGCAGATTGGGGAACAAGATATTCAAGGTTATAAATTCCATTAATTTCAGAAAAAATTATCTTCAGTGAACAAATGGTTGGATCTAATAACTTAACGGGATTTACATTAGACTAATGTAATGCATTTGGTTCAAATGAATCTGTTTTAAGACTGAATCCATCCTGATACTAATTGTGAATTATGAACTTGCAAAATAAATATTTTTCTCATATATACATACATATAAGCATACATGACATACCCAATTACTGGTGTCACAGAGTGTTTCCTCCATGCCTCAGATAAAAATTCTCCCCTTTCTTTCATTTCTTCTTCTTTTTCTTCTTCTTCTTCCTTTCCCCCCTCCTTCTCCTCTTCTTCATCCTCATCTTCTTCTTCCACTGCTTCCAATTCATGTAAAAAAGGCATATTTTGGCCATGCTTTCTTTCAGATATTATCAGAATATAGGAGGGTGCAGACAGCATATATGAAACAAAGTCTTCAAAATCAGGCTGGAGAAAAAAAATGTTTTGTGTTAAATATCAAGAAAGATGCTGACCTCACTGCATTCATCCTGATATTAATGAGATATAAAATATCACTATATTTATTATCAATTATCTAACAACCTGTTAATGAAAACTATAATAAAATATGAGATTTTAGTTAGGCAGGAAATGTTATGCGTGGGAATTTGTGTTCTATATGCTTTTCTTTTTATGATACCTTAAAATTTTATTCCTAGCAGATGATGCTTTTGAAATTTTGCTTCCTTGGTCTTCCAACATATTGATGCCAGCTTGGTTCCTAAACCTCATTCTATACTGTTTATTTATTTCTCACATTTTTATACCTCCCACCTCACTAAGTGACCAGGACAGTTTATAAAATAATAATAAAAAATGGTATAAAGCATTAAAAAAAAAACCAAAGATAAAACAGAATTAAGAACAAAGTTAAAATTAAAATATTACAAATTTTAAAAAAGCATGGGCAGTAATTCTCACATCAGCATCTGTCCCCAGAGTCACATATCACTCTTCAACCCCTATGGCAATTTGGCAGAGTCAGGTCTTAATACTCTTTTGGAAGCCCACTCTGAGGGTAAGATATCCTAGAAGGCAGGGGAACAGCAGAGAAAGCTCTCTTCCTGGATTCCAAGCAGGGCTTCTTGATCCAGAAAAGGACATAACTAGTGTACAACACAAAGTTGAGTGAAGACCTTCCTAGCCATTTCTGCCACCTGCTCTTCAAGCAGGAGTAGTGAAACTAGGAGGACCCGCAGATTATATACCAGGTACATCTAGAACAGTGCAAACTCATCCAGGGCCAAAGATGGGAAATTCTCATATTCAGAGGAGCCTTCTACATACAGGCACTCCACTCCATTCAGTTGTAGCCTGTTGTTCCCCACCCAGATCTCCACAGCTTCACATAGATGTTAGAAAGGTGCTGGACCTTTCATTTCCTATCAATACCAAGAGTCCCAGAGAAAGGACGTGAACTAGCACAAGCCTGTGTCTCCCACTCTCAACTCCAAAATTAACCTAAAGAAAGCCATGACTAATGATATCAAAAACTGCCAAGGAGTCAAAAAGAGCCCGATGAATGCACTACCTCCATCCTATTCCTGCCTCCCAATCATCAAGAAGTGTGACTAGTGCTATTTCCATCTTGTATCTGGGCCTGAAACCTGAATAGCAGGGGTTAAGATAATTTGTTTCACTCATGATGTTCTGAAGCTGCAGCATTACCTTCTCAACCATTTTTCTAAAAAGGGAAGCTGGATAAAAGTTAGCAGGAATAATAGGGTTCAGTGATGGCTTCTTGAAAAAGGGATATAATGTATTTATCATCCCAAGGATCCTGACAACTTCCTTACATCCAACAGGATCAAACTGTTCCCAGTTAATGGGTAAGATTCAGTGTGGGTTGCCCCTGGTTCACAGGGGTTCTATAGAACCGGTAGTAAAACTGGGGGGAGGCTCTGCCCACCGACCCTGACGTCATCAGAATGCTTCTGCACATGTGCAGAAGAGCACACGTGCGAGCTTTGCACGGGCAAGCTTTGTGTGTGTGGACGCGATCCCGTTGCAAACCGGTAATAAAGGTAAGTAGAACCCACCGCTAGTAAGATTGTTCTCCAAGCATCCCTAGCAAATCCATACCTCACTTGGTCTCCAACTGAGAATGAATCTCAGCAATTTTGTCAGCCAGATGCTTTGTAAATTCCTCAATACAGCCCTAAAGTTAAACCTCAGAATCCCCTTTACCTGAAAGGGATCAGAAAACCAGGGTCATCAGGCAGCACTTTGTGGATTAAGTAAGAATGGTTTGATGTTTTTATTAGTATTTGTTCTCAATTTTAATGTAAACATTAACTGTAATGTTCAGTAAAATTATTGTAAGATGGATAAACTATCTCATTAGGTAGAACAGTGGTGCTTATATCCATTGTTTGTTACATTGGTTTAACATGCTTAAAAAAACAAAGACCTAATTTCTCATCTCCCAGATCCAGGAAAATAAAAATCCAGGTCTTATTCATTTATTATTGCCTCATCTCCAGCCATTCTTAAACTTTTTCCAGATGTTAAATGCAACCCTTCCCCATCAAAGCTTGTCTAGTACTGTCATGTCCTACTCTTTGGCAAGCCATATGGAAATGCTTTGTAAAATGAAGGCTTCTCTACCTTGCTTTGCCCCAAACAGAATACAATTGTCATGTCAAACTAGCATGCCTACCTAATAGCTCCTCTGAATAGGAATGACTGACATTGAAAAACCAGAATTGTTTATTTATTACATTAATTCTCCATCATTTATTAAGAAGGTCAAGATTTCTCTCTTATTTTTTCCCAACAATTTTGTAAGAGAGGTTGAATTGCAAGAGTCCATTTTCGTTCCAATCTACCCTTTCTTCAGAGCCTTCTTTGATCATAACTGTTAAAAATAAATCATGCCAGACAGCATATTGTAACTAAATGCCATATTGCAGGCATACTCTTATTTTCAGCTCTATTTTAATCATTAAAGCAAAATAAGCATAAGCTTAGAGCACCAAGGGAAGGGAAGCACCAAAGACTCCCCCACCACTATCATGCTCTTAATTCGTTCACTGCCACACTTGTCTTTAGTCATTTTTTTATTATCCTTATCTGCTGTGTTCAACTTTAATCTACATTATTAAAAACATATTGTCTTTGGCATGGTTTGTGACTAAATTTTAAAGGTTTGGTTTGAAGGTGTTGTCAAATATTACATTTATTTCGGTCTCAAGCATGGGATTTTCACTTTTGTTGAGGGTGCAACATTATTGGGCTAGGCTTAAGACACCCATTTGCCTTAATCCATACCTGCTTAATTTGTTTTTTAGTTCCTGATTGGGGTGTGGAAGTGCCAAGAATACCTGCAGGCACCAACTGTCTCTATCCAAATCACTTTCAATTGACGCTATTGCTTTTGGAGCTACTGAGTTGGGAAATCTGAAAAGCATCTAGTGAGACTTTCAAACCAAAGAACCAAAACATCTTTATTCTTGCTATTCTAGCTCTATTCTAGCTCTGGCATTGAAGCCATTCCTCCTAGTGACTTACAATATTTTTAACATCACCCAGCCATTGTTGAAATGATAGAAATCTTGTCTCATTACTGTTATAGCAGAATAATGATTGTTCATGATTCTAGAAGAAGACCCTTTAAGTCTTTGGGAAGGTAGCTTTGGGAAGGCTTGGGAAGGTAGTCTTGAGAGAAATTCTTTCATATAGTGTTAACTTCTGGGTTACTTAAAAGGCATGATATGGTTGAACTTTCACAACTATGGTAACATGCAATTTATATCATAACTAATTTTCAGTAATTACAATGAATAATATTTTCCTCTATATTAAAAGTCTTTTATATCTTAACAATAACTGTGCCCTCACCTCCCCACCTTCTTGAAATTATTACCTCTTCTGATTTGCTTTCATAAAAATTCTTAACTTGCTCATCAGTTAAAATCTTCTTGTCTTCTGCAAGAATGACAGAGCCTGCTTCAATAATCTTCAGTTGTAGAAAAATGCAAGTATATTTAAAAAGGGGGAAATGGGTTATTTGTTTCAGTTTTCAAAGTTTTTTTTAAATTAACCAATTATTTAGTTTAAGAATATGTTAACTAAATGTAAATAAATGTACATCTTACCAAAGCCTTAAAAGAGTCTTTTTCTAAAGAAATGTATCCCTTAATAAGCCAAGGATACCAATTATCTTAGAATTAAAAATGCTGTTGATACTTCTTTGCTTTTCTTCTACTGTACTCTGCATCAAACAGTTAGGTGGCTCAGTGGCTAAGACACTGAGTTTGTCGATCAGAAGGGTCAGCAGTTCGGAGGTTTGAATCCCTAATATAGGTCTCCTGTGTGAGCAGGGGGGTTGGACTAGATGACCTCCAAGGTCCCTTCCAACTCTGTTACTGTTACCTGTTACCTTGGCAATTCAATCTTTTCCCCATGGTTAGAAATCCTGAGGGAAACTATTAGCTAATAGGATAGTGCCAAGAAGTTATCAGTTCCCACTTTTAATTATCTATTTATACATTCATTGGATTTTGCACAAACAATGCTGCTCCTAAAATGTTTAATAGAGAGGTAGGACTACAGGAATATAAATTAATACTTGGTGGGAACTAGACATATAAGGTCAGTGTTTGAAGGTGTTTTAAAAAGGTTAAATTGTTATAATCTTTGCCACTCTTTGAAATGGAGACTGGAACAAAAGTTTCCATTGCTAGAGTTGGTAATGATTTTATTAGAATGTTTGACAAGGTGTTGCATTCTGAGAACTGGCAAAATACAGTTCAAAGCCAAAGTCAACAGAGTTCTGGGGGAGTTCTGAATAGCAATTGGGTTATAGAGCAAGGGGTAAATTTGATAATCTATTGCTTAGAGTGCAACTATTTTTTGTTTTGTGTTATCTTTCCAGTGCTCTAGGTTCAGAAGAACTTGTTCCATATCATGACTAACATGCATGTAGAGGGAACTATAAAGGGAAGACTTTAAACCTTTGATTTGAATTAAATAGCCAATGGATTCTTTTTATTAAGCCACTCCATTGATAGGGAGAATTTTACAAAATAAATATCAGGCGGGAGGGAAATTTAGATTCCCCACTTCCTTGGTATATTGCCAGTTTGAAAGTTAAGCATACGCTCCACAAAAGGACAAAGGCAAACTGCTTTTATACTATTGCCAAAAAACCCACATCTAGTTGGGGGGCATAAGCCATTCCAAATAAAGCTGCCTTTTGCAATTCATTGCTGATTGATTTTGATTTTGTCAATGCTGATGATATTCAAATAGTGCTCCAATGTTTTTGGATTGTACCCAAGATACCTATTACTATTGGTACTATGTTTGCTTTCTTTTAACCCACTTGTACTATTTTTAGTTGCAGATCTTTGTATTCTGTTATCTTCTCCAATTCTTTGCCTGCTCTCCTTCTGTCTCCAGGTACAGCCATATCCACTATCTGGATGTTTCTTTCTTATTGGCAATTGTTAAGCCTGAAATGTGTCTGCCTGTTTGAATTTTTAAGTCCCAGAGCACTTTATTTTTTATTATTTTGCCTATGCTGTGGTCCTTTCAGTTTTTCCTTGTGGGAAAATGGCATTTGAACCTGACCAACTCAAAGCTGACTCAGCCTTCCATCCTTCCAAGGTTAGTAAAATAAGGACCCAGATTGTTGGGGGCAATATGCTGACTTTGTAAACCACTTAGAGCAGGGATATCAAACTCAAGGCCTGCAGGCCAGATCCAGTCCACAGGTGCTTATATTTGGCTGTGGGACTGCTCTGGAAACAGTGAAGGACCGGCCTGCAGTGCCTCTGCCAGCAAAAATGGAACTCAGGAGGGCTGTGCGCAGCCTCCGGAGCTCTGTTTTTGGCTGTGATGGCCTCTGGCAGCCCTTTCCCACCGAAAATGGAGCTCAAGAAGGCTGTGCGCAGCCCTCCTGAGCTCCATTTTTGCTGGTAGAGGGCTGCTGGAGGCCATCGTGGCTGAAAGTGGAGCCAAGGATGGCACGTGGACCGCTTGGGCTCCATTTTTGCTGGCAGAGTGCTAGCAAAACAAACTACTAGCAAAAGTGGCATTTGATCACAAGGCAAGGAGGCATCAAGAAATGTTTCCCCTTTTGCATTTGACAATTCAAGAAAGGTCAGAAAAGGAGAAATGGAAAGAGGAAAGACAAAGAAAAAGATGGGAAGATAGGAAGAGTGCAAGGAAGGAAAAAGAAGGAAAGAGGGGAAAGAAGAAGAAAGGAGAAAGAAGAGGGAAAGAAAAAGAAGGGGGAAGGAAGGAAGGAAGGAAGGAAGGAAGGAAGGAAGGAAGGAAGGAAGGAAGATTATAATGAGTAGGAGGGTCTGAGGGAACTCCTGCCTAGCGCTTGGCCACCAGAGCCCTGCTGCCCTTTCGCCATCCCCTTGTCTGCTCCTCCAGATCTCTCCTTGTAGTCTCCACCCAATCACTGAGGATGCTTTGGTTACAAAGCCAGGTCTCCTTGTGTGGAGAGGGAGTGGGCCTCCCTCTGACCCACACACTTTGCCCTTCTACACACACCATGAGCAACCTGGCCAAGAAGAGCAAGAACAGCAGTGAGGAGGTAAGTGCAGCCTGGCACCCCTTCGGGGAGCGGGGCTAGGCTGAGTTGAGTTGTGGGGTCCTGGTGCCCTGAGAGCTCTAGTGCTGGGCTGGGTACTTGTCCTCCACTGCCTAGGGCTCTGGACAGCCTGCGCCACCATCCGGGGGTCCTCCACATGGCCTGAGAGGGACTGCAAGGCTTCTCTGGAGGATAAGGTTTTGGTGCTCTTCCTGGTCTCACCTTCCTCCGCTGGACACAATGGATCCCTCCAGCCCTGCCTGGGCCACTACAGGTGCCCCTGACATGAATGATATTGAGCTTGCCACACCCACCCTGGAAAGCCCACCCGGCCCCTTGAAGTCAAACACATCCCTGATGTGGCCCTCAATGAAATCAAGTTTGACACCCCTGACTGTTGTAAAGCACTATGAAGCAGTATATTAACAGATTAAACAGATTAACAGAGTTGGAAGGGACCTTGTAGGTCATCTAGTCCAACCTTTTGCCCAAGCAGGAGACCCTACACCATTTCTGACAAATGGCAGTCCAATCTCTTCTTGAAAGCCTCCAGTGATGAAGCTCCCACAACTTCTGAAGGCAAGCTATTCCATTGGTTGATTGTTCTCACTGTCAAAAAATTTCTCCTTATTTCTAGGTTGAATCTCTTCTTGATCAGTTTCCATCCATTATTCCTTGTCTGGCCATCAGGTGCCTTGGAAAATAGCTTGACCCCTTCCTCTCTATGGCAGCCTCTCAAATATTGGAAGACGGCTATCATGTCTCCCATGGTCCTTCTGTTCACTAGACTAGTCATGCCCCGTTCCTGTAACTGTTCTTCATATGTTTTAGTCTCCAGTCCCCTAATCATCCTGGTTGCTCTTCGCTGCACTTTTTCTAGTCTCAACATCTTTTTTATAGTGTGGTGACCAAAACTGGATGCAGTATTCTAGGTGTGGCCTTACTAAGGCTTTATAGAGTGATATTAGTACCTCACTTGATCTTGATTGTATCCCTCTATTAATGCAGTTTAGGATTGCATTGGCTTTTCTGGCTGCTGCTGCACACTGCTGGCTCATGTTTATCTGGTTATCCACTAAGATTCAAAGATCCCTCTCACGGTTACTGCTATTAAGCCTGGTTTCACCCAGTCTATATGTGTACTTTTGGTTTTTCTTGCCTAAGTGTAAGACTTTACTTTTTTTTTTGGGAAATTTTTTTTATTTTTAAACAAAACTTAAAACATAAAACAATTATCATCCATTACAATCACAGAAAGTGTATTGATTGGTTACAAATCTTTTGTGCTTAATCTTCTATCCAATATTCTCTTATTTAACAGTTTATTACATTATTATTCTCTTTACCAATTATTTAACAGTAAATTGTCCTCTATAAGGGGGAAAAAAAACCCTTTATATGTTTTATTATCTTATCCGTTTCATATTTCATATTTCATTTCCATTCTTTCTTGTCTAACCATTGATAAAATAAATCCCATATCAAATAATATTGTTTATCTTCTTGTTCCCTAATTTCAAATGTCAATTTACTCATTTCAGCACACTCCAAAATGTTCTTGATAATGTCGTCATCCATGGGTATCTTCTCACCTTTCCAGTTTCTAGCAAATACAATTCTAGCCGCCGTTAAAACATTCACAATTAAATATCTCATTTCTCTATTGTATATTTCTGGTAAAATCCCCAATAAAAATATATCTGGTTTAAAGTCAATATGTTTCTTTGTCATTTTTTCCAACCATTTGTGGATTTTAGTCCAATATCTTTTAGCTTCTGCACATGTCCACCACATATGGTAATATGAGCCCGGAGTCTGACACTTCCAACATTTCTCCGATTTATTCTTGTACATTCTGGCTATTCTCGCCAGGAGTAAATGCCACCTGTAAAACATCTTATACAGATTTTCCTTATATGCTGTTGACATTGTCATTTTATAGTTCTGCAACCATAATTTTTCCCATTTCTCTAAGTCAATCCCATGACCCACATTTTTCCCCCATGCAATCATTGTTTCTTTAACTTGTTCTTCTGCCAAATTTACTTCTAATAAATGACTGTACAATTTTTTAATTACATGGTCATCAGAACCTGTTAAGATTTTATCTAAGTTTGTCAAGTTACTATAAAAACCCTCCTTTTTAGAATCTTCATCATATCTAGACTGTATTTGCATATATGAAAACTAATCCATTTCAAACTCTTGTTCTTCTAGTTCTTGCTTCAACTTAAATTCACCCCTTTCATTTAATAATTCACCATATCTAACAATTTGTTCCTTCCTAAATGTTATTGCGTGTGAGACTGCTTCAATAGGTGATAACCAGACTGGAATTTTTAAATAGTAACATTGTTTGATTTTCTCCCAGTTTAATAACAAAGACTCTCGTATCATATGTCTTCTGAAAT